AAACGCAACGGCCCGGGCCAGCCAGCCCGGGGGGCTGCTGGCGTGGCTGGCCACCCAGGAGTGCTGCAGGAGCCCTTCCAGGGAGCTGGTGGCTCTGGGTGGCCTCGCTGGGGTGCAGCAGGCGCCAGCCAGCCCTGGTTTGTTGATGGGGCAGATAGAGTGGGACTGCTGTGTCCTGGGGCTTATCAGACCTTGGGAAACTTCTCCTCCCTCCAGCCAGTGGTTCTTCCTCCCAGCCCCTTCACCCAACACCCACATAACATCACGGGTCACCAGCCCAACCCTCGCTCCGCTCCCACGTCCTCCCAACCTTGGCATCACCAGCCCACGGCAGCTCCCGGGGACAAGATGAAATAAACCCAAATATCCCACTGGGAGAGGGGCCTGATCCAGCCCCTCCACCTCACTCCTGCAGCCGTGGGGTCCAGCAGCTCCTCCAGGATATCCTGAGGCTCTGGCCGGATCCGGGGAACAATGCACCAGGCATCCCTGGTGCCCCCGGTTCCTTCCCGTCCCTCAGCCCTCAGCTCTGCTCCCAGCCCCTTCCCAGGGCTCTGGAGGCACCTGAGCACAGCTGCAGCTCCAGCAGTGCCCACGTTTCCATGCAGAGGCTCTGGATCCCCCCTGGAGCTGGCAGCAGCTGAGCTGCCTCCCTCCTGCCCTGCCCAAACCCCGTCACAATGAATTAGGGGGATGTGACTTCAGCAGGCAGTGGCAGGGAAATGATCAGCTGCACTGCATTTCTTTCCCAGTTTTCCTTGTTTTCATCAGCCTGGGGGTGCTGAGCAGCCCAGGCCTGCGGGGGGTGATGCTCTGTTCCCTGGGGTGTTCCACTGGACCTTGCCTCTCCTTCCCTCCCAGCCCTGTCCCCTTGCAGGAAACCAGGGATTTGCTTCCCATTCCCTGCCCATGTGCTGCACCCTCACTGGGGGTGGTTGTAGCATCAAAGAAACACCCCAATTTCTGCCCTGGAGGGGTGGAAGGAGCATTTGAGGAAGAAGGAGCAGACACTCAGGAGGGGTGAAGCTGGTAATCAGCTCTCAGGGAACTTTTGGTCATTAAGAGCCATTTAGTCCCTGTGCTCTCATTAGGGGGCTGCCACACAGCCCTGGTTTTACAGAACCTGCACTTTGCATCCTGGTGGTCCATGGTGGCTTTGCATCCTCAGGTCCCAGAGAGCATCCTTGCCTGCTGGCCCAGAATTACCACAGGGAATGGCCAAAGAGGCTTTTCCTTTGGGAAAAAAATCCCTGCCTTGCTGCAGCAGCCCGGTCTGCTGGTGCCACCAAACTTCTCCCAAGCTCTGAATCCCACCGACCCCAGCACCTGGGGGGACCTGCCAGCGGTGGTCATGTCTCCTGAGTCCCAGGAGTTGGGATACTGGGGGATTTTGCAGCCCTGGGAAGGGCCAGGCTTTGGGCAGGTTCCTGGCCACGTCCCAGAGGGACACGCTGCCCCCTCGCACACTTTGAGTGACTCTCACTGAATTTTCTCCCCACTCTGGGCTTCTCTACAGCTTTGCCCCTGCTTCCCTGAGCTGCTGGGTGGGCCCTGTTCCTCAGTCCTGCAGGACTTCATCATAGAATGGTTTGGGTTGGAAGGGGCCTTCAAGATCATCCAGTCCCAACCCCCTGCATGGGCAGGGACACCTCCCACCAGCCCAGGCTGCTCCAAGCCCCATCCAACCTGCCCTTCAACACTGCCAGGGATGGGGCAGCCACAGCTTCCCTGGGCAACCTGGGCCAGGCTCTCACCACCCTCACAGGGACGAATTTCTTCCTACCCTCACCAACAGGGAGAGCACTTTGTTCTGAGAACAACAGAGAGGAAAAGGACTGTGTCACCTCTGGTGCATAATTCATTTAGAAATCAGCCACTGAAAATACTATTTCATGTTTCCTTCCTTTCTGCTGAGATGCCTTCCTTTCTGTTGTGTTTTGGTTTGTTGTTTTCCCCTTTAAAACTCCAAAGGTACCTCTAAACATCTCAGAACTAAACCCAGTTGTCTCCAAAATGAAACCCTTCCCATCTGACAAAGCAAATCTGGGTCTGAACCTCAGCCGTGGTAAAAAACAACAACCCACCCCAAACTCCAAACCCAAACCATGTTCTCCATCTATTTTGCAGCAGGGCCATTTCCCTGGGCTGGCTCTGCAGGTGCAACACAAATCCTGCTCATTAGGTGCCTTCATTACCTCCCTGGTGGCTTCATGGGCCAGAAGCATCACCTCTTGTCAGCCCTGGGGCTGGAGGTGGGTGCTGTCTCTGGGAGTCCCTTTTGGGGACATTCCCATCACCCCACATCCACCAGGAGCCTCTGGCAAAGCCTCCCCGAGTTGGGTGGGTGAAATACTCCTAGAAAAAAAGTCTCTCCAAAGCACCTGCTCTTCAGGGGAGGAAGAGGAGCATCCAGACAAGCTCCACACGTGGCTTTTCTGTGCCTAAATGAGCCTCATCCAACCCTGCCCTTCCCCACCAGCCTCTCTACAGGCACATGCCTGGTTTTTCTCAGGGTTTATAAGGTTTCATGAGCTTTTTTTGGGTTTATTTAA